CGCGGAGCCCGCGCCCCTTCGGCTGCGGTCGGGGGCCTGCCTCCAGGGCCCAGTCAGAATGAAGGAATGCGACTTGAGCGAACACTGAAGTATTTTTCCTCGTTATAAAAATAGCGTTTGTTCGTTACAGAACAAGGGAAAGCTTGTGACCGAATAAAGAACACTTACCACCAGGTATCGCACCGCTCACCCCTTAACTTTCCCTTACAGATGAAAACAATAAATGTGCAGGTTTTTTCTTAGAAAATCTTGACCGTAAGTTATATGTGGTTTTATAGCCTGCTTTTCATTTAATATTATTTTGTGAGCATTTCTCATGCTAAAAAAAAATAAAATTCGTTTTAGTAAATTTGAAGAACTAATTGGCTTTATTAAACAATTCATGGATCAGGCAGCGTCTCATCTAGCAAGGAGAGATACTCAGGAGTTACACAAGATAGAAGGCCTTTCCCCGCCGGGCTGGCTCAGCCGGTGAGCGTGGACCTAGGAGCCAGGCGACCGGGGTTCGATTCCCGGTCGGGCACTTGCCGGGGCTGCGGGCTCCATCCCCAGTCGCGGGCGTGCAGGAGGCAGCCGATCAATGACTCTCTCAGCATGGATGTTTCTCTCTCTCTCTCTCCCTCTCCCTTCCTCTCTCTGAAATCAATAAAGATATATTTTTAAAAAAACAAAAAATGGAAGGCTTTTATAGAAAGGACGGTGGGACAGGGAAGTGTTGACCCTGAGAAAAACATACTTGCCAAAAAGAACTCATCCTTAATTGGGCTCAAATTTGTAACTAGAGTCTAGCAAATTCATAACCAGAGTCTAGCAGTCATTGTTTTGTTTCTGCTGCATTTCAGGGAAAAACCACAGACCCCACTGCCAAGCAGTGTGCTCCTCTCACCTGAATCAACCCTTATAAGAGACCTAGGATCGAAATTCAACCAATAGAACTGAAATTTTCCCCATCCAATCTTAACTAAGCAATCAGAGTGGCTCCATCAGTCAGGACAGTGCTTTTTGCACCAATCAAACTATGATGATTTGAAGTCCTCATTTCCATGAGAACAACCAATCCTGGACTGGTGGTGGGAACTCTTCTCTTTATAATCCAGCTTTCCCTCTGTCTCCCTTGAGTGCACTTTCAGTTTCCAGCGAACACTGCGTTTTCCCCTGCTGAGCTGCAACGCCAGAACTGTAACACCAAAGTGGACTCACAGTCACGCTGTTTCATGATTGAGCTGTCACAGCCGAAGCCGAGTTCTTTCACAATTGAGCTGTTTTCACTGAATAAAGTCTCTCCCTTCACCACACCCCAAATTGGAAACTCCTATTGGCGTTGAACTGGTGATGATGACCTTTGATTGACCAAAGTCATTAGCAGAAGAAAAATGAAAGTTCCTTGAAGGAAAGTACAAGTTCAGAGTGACCATGACTTATTGGCCTTTTCCGTTGACTGGGCTTGTTGCTGGGCAAGAAGAAAATCTTCCTCCTTCTGGGGTAGTAAAGGAGATACAGCTTCCTCTTGGAGACACAAGGTATGTCTTTTCCTGTTTGGGATAATTGATGAGAAGTGGTAGAGGGTGAGAGCTTTCTCTACAGGCCTTCCCCACACCAGTTTTAACTGTTTCCTTAATGTTTATGCCTGTGTTTTTCAATGTTCTTCAAAACCATTGCATTAGCTGCTCATTGTTCCACACCTAGACAACCCAGAATTTATCATTACTGCTTTGTTGACGGACATTAGAGTTTTTCAATATGTGTGCACACTGTAAAAGCACTTTAATGCACCTCTCAGTTCGATCTCTGCATTGTTTCCTTAGGTTCCTCTTGTACAGATGTTCATTACAGTGTTTGCCTGCCCAAAGTCCTTTACAGTCATGTGCTACATAATGATATTTAGGTCAACGAGGAACCACATATAAGACAGTGGTCCCCTATGATTGTGATGGATTATAGGCAGTAGGTTACTTTGCAATGCTGAAAGAAAATGCTGGACCCAGCTACAATGTTGAATTTACTACTAGCTCTTCGTGATCTGAGGAGGCTCAGCATCCTATCCACCCTCCATGCGCCCCTCTGAAGCTGGGGCCCAGAGCTGGCAAGGGAATAGGGAAGGGGTCTAAGGAGGAGGGGAGCTAGGAGGCCACTGCCCATCCACACTTGCCTGCGCGTCCTTGCACTCATGGGCACAGACTCACTTCCCTTCCCTCCGTTTCTCTTTCTCTCTCTTTCCTCCTAGTCTGAGTCCCCTCTCCCCGGCCTCTCCCCTCCCCCTCTGACTGGGCAGATTCCTAAGGTTGGAATTACAAGGTCGAAAAATAGTAATACGTTTAAATTCTTCATGGCTGTGCTAAATTGCTTTTCAAAATGTTGTACGTATATTCTCCAACAATCCATGAGTAGAAGTCCTCTTGGTCTTCTGTGCTAGCTTGGTCTATTTTCTGTGCTAGCTTTGACAGAAGGAAGCTTAAAGTGCAACATTAGGAGCGCTCGCCCGGCCGGGCGTGGCTCAGCGGTTGAGCGTCAACCTAGGATCTAGGAGATCGGGGTTCGATTCCCGCTTAGGGCACATGCCCGGGTTGCCGGCTGCAGCTGATCAATGACTCTCATCATTGATGTTTCTGTCTCTCTCTCTCCCTCTCCTTTCCTCTCTCTGAAATCAATAAAGATATATTTTTAAAAAAAATAGAAAAAAAACATTAGGAGCACTCAACTTCCACTGTCTTCTGTCACTGCTGGCCTCCATCCGGAGGCGGCCCTGTCGGACACCTGGCCGTCAGGCTGGTCTCATAGTGACTCCAAATGCTTGGCAGTTTCCATTTCAATTCCGCCTCTAAGAACAGGCTGCCATCAGCTATGACGGATCACCTGATTTCTTGCCCATTTGAGCTGGCTTTATACTTGGCACTTTGACTTGTCCTGGAACGTGTTTCTTGGGTGTAGTCCAATCAGGATATGACCTCACTGAGGTTAACAGTTTAATCAATCCAAACTTCAACATGTTTACAATCCAATGTTGACCAGAGTACTATCCCAGGGAAGTAATTTCTCTATTAATACGTCACTGTAAATCTCTGAGCGTGAAAATTCTAAGACTTTAAAAGCACCATCATCTGCTGGGGTTTGTAATAGGAACAAAATTTGTCCACCCCCAGTGGTCCACTCCCTCTTTGCTGTATACCCTTTAGGGGAGCAGAGGTGGTGTATGAGCTAGACAGGTATCACTCGCTTTCCCCCTAATTCCCTTAAAACACCTTCATTTAATATAGCAAAACAAAGACAGGAAAACAATGCCCATTAAAATTATTTTTTTTTCCATTGCTTTTCAGAGAGAGTGGAAGGAAGAGAAAGAAGAGAGAGAGAGAGAGAAACATCAATGTGAGAGAGACACATTGACTGGTGGCCTCCTGCACTCGCCCCAGTGGTGGCCGGGGATCTAGCCTGCAACCGAGGTATGTGCCCTTGGCAGGAATTGAACCCGGGACCCTTCAGTCCACAGGCTGACACTCCAACCACTGAGCCAAACTGGCCATCGTGAAAATTATTTCTTTTTATTCACTGTTTGACTGTCTTTATACCACTTTGCCACATAGGCATTACACTAAGTTATTATTACAAATCTTGATTCTTTGCAGTTAACTCTTAACTAAGGAATTTGCACAGGTATGACAGTTAAGGTAGCGATGATTTGTAAATAATTACATGGGTAATGGCTAGAACGTGAGTGTGCAGTTGATCACTGGATTGCACTTGCCAATGGGGTAAAAAATATATATATTTATTTTAACCCATATGAAATAGGAATAAGAACCTCAATGAGCCCTGGCCAGTTGTGCTCAGTGGTTAGAGCATTGGCCCGAGGCCTGGGTTCAGTTCCAGCCAAGGGCATGTACCTCAGTTGCAGGCTCAATCCCTGGCCCTAGTTGGGGCACATGCAGAGGCAACCAATGGATGTGTCTCTCTCACATTGATGTTTCTCTCTCTCTCTCCCCATTCCACTCTCTCTGAAAAGCAATGGAAAAAATATCCTTGGGTGAGGATTAATAAAACAAAACCAAAAAACCTTAATGAAATTCTATTTTATACCTCCCAGATTGGCAAAAAAAAATTTTAAAGACAATATCAAATATTGGGTAGAACTGGAAACAACTAGAACATTTATTTATTGGAGATAGAAGTGTAAATCACTCAACCATTTTGGAGGACAATGTGGCATGATCTCTTAAAGCTGGACATTCATGTGCCCTTGATCCAGCAGTTCCTCTCCTAGGTGTATTCCCTGGATAAACTTTTGCACAAGTGTGCCAGGAAACAAGTTTAGTGATGTTCATAGCAGCACTATTTATGTAGCAAAAATATGGAACCAACCCAAATCATTCATAGATGGGTCGCGATAAAGCCATACATTGTTGTATATAAAAGTAAGGAGAGAGCTGGTGGCTGAAAGGATAAATTGAGTTTGCTTTTGTATTAGAGTAATACACGAAGAGCCTAGTGATGTTTGGGTCAGATTGAAAACATCGGTGTGAACACAACAAATGGATAAATCTCAGAAACGTAATCTTGAATGAAAGAAGCAAGTCACAGAGAAATAGATTCAGTATGATTCCATTTCTCAGTCGAGCAGGGAAAACCGAACAATATCCTGTGTAAGAGGTCTGTAAGACAAATACATCAGTAAAACTATGAAGGAAAGCCAGTGAGTAATGGTCACAAAATTAGGGTGGTGGTGACCTCTGGAGGGGGAGGAGGGTGATATTGGAAACTTCAAAAGCAATGACCATCCCGTCTGTCTTCTACTGGATGCTGTGGTCGTGTATCTTCATTTTATCACTATTCTTTGTGTCTTATATGTTATAAATATCATTTCGTATCTGTTTCATATTTCTAAAAACAGATTTTAAAACCTATATGTATCACTACCACCTGTTAGCACATTTTTTGTTAACATCCCTGTTGTAGTATCGTCATAATCCCAAGGTTTTTGTACAGACTCAGCTTGTTTATATTATGCTGTAACTACCACTTTTTAGATTCAACGTGTCACTGCTCAGTCTAGTGGTCTTTTGTTGCATGACCTGCTCAGGACCTCTGGTAGGCAGCCTGTAAAATGGTCCCCAGCGATCTCTACCTCCTGGTCTTCACATCCCCTCCTCTTGAATGTGGGCTGGACCTAGCAACTCATTTCTCACAAATACAGTAGAGCAAAAGTGGCACAGTGTCAGCTCAGAGATGAGTTACCAAAAGGCCGCACCTGTGCCTTAGGCGCCCTCGCTTTCGCTCCCTTGCTCTAAGGAGAACCAGCTGCCGTACTGTGAGACCTGCTTGTCAAGGGACTCATGTCTCTGGCCAACAGCCATGTGAGTGAGCTTAGAAGCAGATCAGCTCCTATTGAGCCTTGAGAAGACTGTACCCTGGCCAGCACCTTGATTGCAGTCTTGTGGCAGACAAGGCTTGAGACAGAGACAGCTGAGCCACACCCGGTTCCTGACCTATGGAAACTTTGATAGTAAATGTTCGTTGTTTCAAGCCATCGAGTTTTTGGGGTAGTTTGTTAGCAGCAACAGATAACTAATAGGGGATCTCTTTGTTCTTCTGGGTGCAGCTCCCTTGTTTGGGGGACTGTGTCACTTTCACCACTTACTCGCCTTAAGATGGAGGGGGAGAGAGTAACCAAAGAATTTATATGCATATATGCACAACCCAAGGACACGGACAATGGTGGGGAGAGGGACTGGGG